TGCTGTTCAGTCCTGAATCCCAGAATGTGCTGAGCTGGGAGGGACCCCCAAGGACCATCCAGTCCAACCCTCAGCCCTGCACAGGCCCAGCCCCAAGAGTCACCCCCTGTGCCCCAGAGGATCAGCCAAAGCCTCCTGCAGCTCTGGCAGCCTTGGGGCTGTGCCCACTGCCCTGGGGAGCCTGTTCAGTGCCCAACCAGCCTGGGGGGGAAGAACCTTGCCCTGAGATCCAACCTGCCCCTCTGACTGCTCCCCTGTGTGTGCTCTTGGATAACTGACTGTCTTCCCTCAGACAGGGTGGCCTTTTCCTTTCCTCTTTTATTTCCACATTTCCCCGACTGAATCTTTCCACACTTTCCTTGCACATCTTTCCCCATCTGCATCCCATGGCTGTGGCGCCCTGCTTTTCCTTCCCCTTTATCTTCCCCTGGTTTTGTTGCTGTAACTACACCAGCATTAATTCCATTTTCTTTCAGCTTTTTCCTCTTTTTTCCTTGTGCTTTCCATAGTAGGTGAGTTTTAAGGGAAAAGGAGGACAACAGGGATGGGTGAGAGATGTCAAGATGTCAAGGAAAGGTGGAGCAATGCAAGAGAAAGGAGCAGCAGGAAAGGGCATCTCAATGTCAGCTCATGGTTATGAGCAAGCAACTGTCACAGTGTCTGTGTCCCTCTTTCCAAAGGCACCACCCCACAGGCAGAGCCTCATCCCCAGGCCCAGTGGGAAGGAGCAGCTCACATCCCACTGTTCAAGAGGCTCCTCCAGGGCACAGGCTCTGGTTCCAAACACCTCTAACCAGGCTCTTTTCTGTGGTTTTTTTTGGAATATCATTGTTTCTGTAATGGTTTCCTGGGTCCCTGAAAGGAGTCACGACAGGGAACAGGAGGAATTTTCCAGCCTGGGCTAGACAAGGGGTCAAACAGATGGCTCAGATGGCTCCTTCCAAGCTCACAGTCTCATTGAAAAGGAAGGTGAGACTGAAGGAGTTGCTCTTGCAGCTCTTGCTCTCGTTCTGACTTCTGAGAGAGGAGCTGGAGGGCTTCATGTGGCACAGCTGGGGGGCCGTGACTCATGGATTTGGGAAAGGTGTGAAAACTGGGGGGGGGGGAATGAAGTGCAGCTACTTAAATACAGTTTGATCTTTATAAAAAGAGTTTTAGTTACTGAGAGCCCGCAGTTCAAATCCTATTTTATTGGTCATATCCCTAGAGGGGTTAGTACAGTATTTTTTCACTCAGATCATGAAATTATTTCAGTATAACACTGACTTCAACATCTGGCTGAATAATGTCAGTGTGGGGCTTTTTTAATGGTTTGGTGTTGGGTTTTTTTTTAATTCTATTATTTTGGGTCAGAAATATCAGGTTTGAAGTGTTCTTTTCACCAGGGGGGCTGGAGCACATTGTAATGTCTGTGAAAAAAACTGAGTCTCACATCACACCATGAATGCAGGAAGATATCAAGTACAAGTTGTGACACCAGTTGCTACATCTGGTTTCTGGGGAGGGATCCAGTTTCTGGGTAGAAATCTGGAGCCTTTGTCTACCTGGGCCAGACTGCCCAGTGGTGTCCAGTGAGAGGATGAGGAGCAAAGGCCATAAATTAAAACACAGCAAATTTTAATTGTTTAATTTAAGTGAGGAAAAACTTCTGTCCATGGAGGTGGCAGAGCCTGGAACAGCTGCCCAGGGAGGGTGTGGAGTCTCCCTGTCTGGAGACATCCCAACCCCACCTGGACACATCCCTGTGTCACCTGCTCCAGGGCAGGGGGAGGGACTGGCTGATCTCCAGGGATCCCTTCCAGCCCTAACAGTTCTGGAACTCTGTGGGGCAGCTGTTCATGTGCATCCTGAAAAGAAACCCATTTTCCTGCCCTGTGAAGCCCTTCAGCCCTGGCTGTGGGTTTTGCCTCACTGGGTGCCCAGTTTCCCGTGCTGGATCTGCCCTCTCAGGGTAGTGGAGAGCAAGTTGGAACAACCCCTGCACATCTGATGCTTTGTTCGAGGGCTGCTCTCTCTGTGTCACCTTTGAATTTTAGCCAATTAGCCTCTAGAGTGTGATTTAAACACTGCTGCTGATGTTAATGCAGGGTGTGCATGTTTGCATACTCACAGCTTGCCTGCAGGCTTGGAATAACACTTGTCATCCAGGGAGGAGAAGGAGCAGCAGAGTCTGGAGACCTGGCAGTGCAGGGGAGAGGTTTTCTACCCATCAGAGGTGTCCAGGCCCCCTTGAGATCCTTCTTAACTCACCTGCATTAATAACTCTGTAGCTCTCCTCCTGCAGAACCCCTTGAAATTGGGTGGCAGCACAGAACATCATCTCTGGTGTGTTTTCAACCTGGAGGTGGATTTGGACCCTGAAAGGGCTGCCTGTGGCTCTTTGCCCAGCCTGTGCCTGTCTGTGCTGCAGTGGGACCCTCACTGTGTCAGGTCGCTCCCTGGCAGGAGGAGCTGGCTCTCCAGACACTTCTCTGCTCCAAGATGTTTAAATCAACCTCTCCAAAGTGCTTGACCATCCATCTGGGAGATCTCCTTGGTGGAAGGGTTTCCCACCTCTCCTGTGAGGCTGGGACTTTGCTGGGGTTCAGGCACTGACAGGTCCTGTCAGTGAGGGCTGTGATCACTGCAGGCTGCACAGACCAGAGGAGCAGGGACAGAGGGGCCTGTTCTCTGCTCCCCAGATGGCTTTGAGATGTGACTTCACAGAGCTGCTGGTGGCCAAAGGCAGGAGGGGGGCAGGGAGACTTCTACCTGAGACCTTTTTCCTCTAGGAAATCTCAAGGGCCTGTGATTAAGCAAAGCTTTCTGGGATCACAGTCCACATTTCATGGAATCACAGAATCACTAAGGTTGGAAAGGACCTCCAAGATCAGCAAGTCCAAGCTTTGACTGAATCCCACGGTGTCACTGAACCACATCATGGATTGCCACATCTCCTCATGTTCTGAACACTCCCAGGGATGGTGGTGGCTCCCTGGGCAGCCTATTCCATGGAGTGCCTGACCACCTTTGCACTGAAGAGATTTCCCCCAACATCCAACCTCAACCTCCCCACTTCCTACGTAGGTTTTCCTACCTATTACCCCCCATTAGATCCATCAGTATTTCCATAACCTTCTGGACTTCACCTTGGACATAAAGGCTGTTCAGAGCCTGGTTGGTCCCCATGGATCAGAGCAGCTTCTCTTCAGCCTCACAGGCAGATCCAGCAGCTGTTTTGTGCTCCACTTGCTCTCGTGTCCGTCTCTCCAGAGGCAGCAGAGGGATGTGGTGCTGGAAGCAGCAGGATTCTGGGGCTGGTAGAAGAAGGATGCTGGTGCTGCAACACGGGAAGCCTCGTTTCACTGTGTTGGAGGCAATCCTGAAGCTGATAAGAGGGTTCAAAGCCGTGTCTTGCTTATCAGTGCAATCAGGCAGGAAAGGAGGACAGTCAGCAGTGTCTCCTCCTGGTGACCTGTTACACTGATCTAGAAAATTATCTGGTGTTTGAAGAAGGAATTCTTGAGCAGGAGATGGTGTTTCAAGGAAATGGATTATGGTTTATTGTCACTGGAACTCCTGTCCTGCACTGGCACTGTGAATTATTAACTCTGGTTGCTTTGCTGGAGCATGAAAGAGTTTTAGGCATTTTTTTAAACTATGTTTGCTACTTGAAAAAGCCAGGAACCTTCTCAGAGTGGAGCCACCTGCTACTGCTCACAGGGACCTGAATGGGCTCCTAAATAAGCTTTGGCTGCTTGGCTTGAGCAGAAGTTCTCAGTTTGAGCATCACTGAAGCAGCAATGAAGGAGTCATGGTGGAAACTCTGGAATCCTGGGCACTGACACCTCCAGTTCTGCTTCCCCAATGAAAAAACCACTTTAATTTCACTTTAAAAGTTCCAAATGTGTTCAATGAGTCTTTCTTTTGCTCTTTTAAACCTCTGCCATCACCAGGTAAGGAGCCATCAGAGAGGGTTCTCTACAAAAATGGAGTAAAAATGGAGTTAACTTCTCCAGGGAGCAGCTAATTGAGACATCTGCTCAAAGGAAAATGTTCCTGCTGAACCCCAGTTCTGTTCCCAATCCTTGTGGAGTCATGTTCTTACACCAGGAATACCAAATCTGCCTTGGCAGTCAGGGGGTGGGTGGTGCTGGTGGAGAGGTTACAAGGAGATAAGGCATAAGGAAACAAGCCTGGCTTTGGAAAAAGGACTTGTTGATAATCCCAGACCTGAGGAGCTGACCTGGTGCCATGAGCAGGTCCTTGAACACAAGGAGATGTTTTACACAAGGAGCTTTTTGCCCTTGTTGACAGAACACACTGGCATTCTGTGCTTGGACAGGGTGGAATTCCCAAACCCTCCTGCAGGAAACTGGGGGTTCTTCCTTTGCCTCTGGTAAAACAGGGGTTCTGATTTAATCTGGGGCTACGAATTCTGTTTTACCTCCTCTGAAACACCCCATATGTGTCCAGTTTTTGCACAAAAATGGGGCAGAGACCCCCCCAGCACCTCCCCACGCACACAGGGCCCCACGTTGTCACCAGACTGGGGGAAAGGAAACTTTTCTAAGGTGAAATGGGCAGGTTCACAGCTTTCACTTAATTTATTCTGAAATATAAGGAGGCATCTTTTTGGGGATCATCCCACACACCAGTTTTGGGGCTCATCTCTCACCCAAGCTGTTAAGAGAGGCCACAGGACCCAGGATTTAACCCTCAGTCTTCCCCCTCTGCTCTGGGTCAGCCAGCCAGGTGTGCTCAGCTCAGACACCTCCCCAGCAGCACTCTCTGGGTCTGCTGGGTGTTCTCACTTAGGAAATGTTGATTTAACCCTCTCAGGAATTAACATTACTCAGGGCAGTGCTCTTTGAAGTGGTTACCAGCCCCGCTAGCAGTGAGTGCTGGGTGTGGTGTGAGTCTGCAAGGCAACAGTGTCATTCCCTTTCCTGGGGACAGAATCTTTAATAAGGGGAGTTTCCCTCGGTGCACTGGGCAGGTGTGAGGCAGATGCTGCTTCGGGCAGCCAAGTGAGATGCAAAATTTGGAGAACGTGAT